GCCACCGCAGTTTTATATTATTTATAGTATGTGTTTTTATCAGAAAGATCCTGTTGTCCATCTCCTGTTTTACCTCTTAGTACTCACATATGGAATAGTAGATTTACCTACGTCACCATTTCACACGAATGTCGAGGAAGGCAGTTAACTAGTAACTAGTTAGTTATCATAAGCATGTTCACAGCGCGACGCTGCTTTCATGATACTGTACCGATGTCAAGCTATGGATAAGCCCAAAAAAATAAAATAAAAATCATGTCTTACGAGGTTTCAGTTACTCTGTTTATTTCCTTATTTTTTAAGTCTAATAATTTTTTTTCTTTCAGAGTGAGGGTCGGTTACGGCGGGCAGTCTTTACGAAGACAACTGTGCGGGGTAGGATTATAGTGTCCGAGTGTATGAGTAAGTACGAGTGCATTCTCTGTTCCCTCACTCTCACAGTCTTACGGGATGGCAATCCGAAACGACCAGAGAGAGATCAGACGCAGGACCAACGGTTTTACGTGCTTCTCGAGGCACGGGGGTAAAAAACTGGCAACTGTATGACTCCGGCCTGCTACTGAGAAATTCTTACAAAAAAAAACCCAATAACTGATTTTGGTCCGACCCGGGATTCAAACCCGGGACGTCATGCATTCGTGATTAAAAAATAGGAAGTCAAAAATATTATAATAACCTAATAACCATCCGTTTACATAAATCAGTCTACATGATTACACAAAATTGGGCCCTGGCTTCATCTGGGTAGGCTTTTAAACGTGGTAGAGCCATGCTTTTTTTTTTGTTTTTATGAGTCGGCTCGACCGGGGAAGGGCCACGCTCTCACAGAATACCAGCGTAAAATAGCAGCTTAACACTGTTGTGTTTCGTATGGTGAGTGTAGGGAACCTGAGACCCTTTTTACTTGAAACGAAGCATTCTATCTTAGTCCTCACGGGTGACAACGCATCTGCATTTTGATTCGCAAACGGGGATAGATGTAGATCTCTATGGGCCACAGCAACCACTTACCATCAGGTGGACTGTGTGCTCGTTTGTCACCCTATCCTATAAAAAAGGCTCTATTAGTGGCGTTATTAAATTTAGAATAATCAATATTTATACCTTTTATATTTATTTTTTTCAAAAAAATCTTCTAGTTTTTAAGATAAAATATAGCCCAAATCCCTCCTGGCATTGCTCTCTATCTGTTCGTAAAGTTTCACATACATTCCGAAGATAAACCCGGACAGAAAGACAAAAATTTTAAAAATGGTTATTTATGTCTTAATAGTATACAAATAACTCACTAAGCTTAACAGAAGCCAGTTATTTTAATATTACAGACAGACACTCAAATTTATTTATATGTGTATACTAGCTGGTACCCGGCGCGTTGCAGCCGCAGAAGAAATAATTGTTGTAAAATCGTTTTAAATTTGGAAGAGTTATATTATTAGGAATGATAGTGCATTCATTGATGTTGAATGATATATAACTTACAAATGTGTCGGTACTATACGCGCGCCACCTACTGTAAGTTAATTGTACTATGCTCAAAACAACCCATACGTACTCCAACTAAAATATAGCTGGCTTGGCTCTACCTAGTATAGGATAATAATAAACACGTATTGTTAGAAATTTGGGGACCTATGAAAACCTTATTTAACACTTTCATTCGAAGTCAGATGTTCTGTGGGCAAGAAAGTTAGTATCGTAGGGCTTGGTGGTAGTGGCTGTAGTTGTCAACCACTACCACCAAGCCCCAACGATACTAACTTCACTCAATTGTTTTGCCTAACCGGAACCCCTCCACTAACACTTAAACTTTATGGTATGGTATTAAAGTTCAAATTGATTTTTAAGTATAATTACGAATCTTTTGTATGGGAATACAAAAAAGTGTTGTTTTTAGACTTTTTCAGGCAATTTTTTAAATTTTTCTCTCCGTAAGAACCATCTTCGTACTTCAAGAAATATTATAAAAAAAGAATTAGCGAATTCGGTTCAGCTGCTCTTGAGGTTTGCGCTTAGCAACACATTCAGCGATTCATTTTTATATTATAAAAGACAAGGCATGACCCCCTCCACGGTCTATAACTCCACCTGCACGAGTCCGATGCGCGCAGGCCATGGGGCCAGGAAAATCGAGCGCTTAGCTCCGCCGCCAACCACGTTTCGGCCCCGGAGGGTAGGGAGAGCGGCGCCTCACAATAATGACACTCCTCTCCCCCCGCGGCCCCTCCACCACCGCATCAACGGTGTGGCTCCGTCAGGGTCGCGGAGGATAGGGCGAGTGGCGCATCACCATACCAACACTCCTCTTCCCCCGCGACTCCACCTCGGCTGCAGCGGTAGGGGGAGATAACACCCCTCTCACCGCAGCCCACCGACACATATCCGAAGTGAGCTCGTCAAGCCCACTCGGAGTGGCCACCTCGGGCCGGCCGTACACCACGGGCCAGCCAAGGGGGTCCTCTTTGTTCACCTCGGGTGACCAAGCCACGGCTACTAAACCCCCCCGCCACGATTATGTTGTTATAGTGTTCTGGTGGCTTTTGCACTACTGTCATTCTTCACATTGTTTTTCACTACCAAATATATTGCAAGCAGGTAAAATTAAAATTATCTACTCCAATGATGCCAACTTCGGTATCTATGTCAAGTTGTTAAATACGCAACATATTAAAAAGTTGCAAGTGACTTACTGCGGCCTTGTTAACTCTGTTTATAATATGGAAGTTACAATACTGAATCATTTTTCTTTTGATATGACAGCACTTGGTGTATTATACAAAAGAATTGCCTTACAAGAAGGATTCTTTTCCGACTCTATTTATTATTTTGTGGGGGTACGAGCCCACTAACGTATGTCAACGTCAACACTATGTGTACTTAAGTCGAGAAGGTTTGACGAAGGCAGAATATTCGTATGTTAACACAATGAAATAGTTTATTATAAATAAATATGCACTTATAACATAATATATGTATTCAATTAATATTTGTAGTTTGTTAACGCGTGTTCTCAAAACAGAATGCCTAAGAATCATCATGCACCCTATTTTACAACACTTCCCTTTTCACTTCTCTTCCGTTGTGCAGGAAATTATTATATTCTTCTATTTCGACAATTTTGTATGTCTATACCGTTTCATCTATAGGTAGTAATACTTGTTAATATTGGCGAATCTGTCGTGTCGAAATGACAAATGAGCACATAGTCTCCACCTGATGATAAGTGAATGCTATGGCCTATATACATCTACATGTATCCTCAATTAAGAATCAAAACGCGGATGCGTTGCCACCCCTTTTTTTTTTTTTTTTTTGCGGATGGAAAATCATCTAATGACGCCTTTCGCTGTGGGTGGAGCGGAAGGGAGTGTCAGACTTTTACTGACTAAAAACCATCCGTGTTCCTTCAGTGCCCTTACGTTCCGGAGCCGCGGTATCTCTTTCGAACAGCCCGCAGCCCCGGCAGGCGTCGGCCCTTGCGGGCCCCTTCACGCTGCTGACAGCTCTTTGAGGCGCGCGTGGAACAAAACGCGCCGTCGACACGGCCTGTCGTCGTTAGACGGACGGACGGCGAGCTACCCATTGCTCGCCGTCCACAGGCCCGCGCCTACGGTGGTCGGGGGCCACGACGTAGCCCCCGACGCCCGGGGCGTCTCCCGCGGCGGCCGGGAAGGAAAGCTGTTGCTCTTTCCTTCTCCCGCTCCGCCACCTCCTTCGCTAGCATCACTGCTTCGCAGAAGGTGGTGACGGCATCCCATTCCGTCTCGCTCCGGACCATGGCTTCGACCAGAGCCGGACGCGAGAGGTCGCCGCCGCCTATCGCCGCTACGAGGACACGGCGGTGCTCCGCCCAAGCAGAGCACACCTCCACGGTGTGCTCCACCGTGTCCTCCGGTCGATCCTCGCAGTGGGAGCACCCGGGCGTTTCCTCCCGCCCGATTCAGTGCAGGAACCTCCCGAACACACCGTGTCCGGTGAGGACCTGCGTCAGGCGGAAGGTGAGGACGCCGTGGCGTCTCTCAAGCCACTCCTCAAAGAGGGGTCTTATCGCCGCTATAGTGGCATGCCCAGCACGGGGTTGCGACAGTCGCTCTCTCCATGTCGCCATGAGATCATGCCGGAAGTCTGTCCGCTGCGCGACAACTTGCCGCGGCAGCGGGGTTTCCCCCCGGCATAGTGCTGCCGCGCGCCATTCGTGCAGGCGCGCGAGGACTATCGCCTCCAGATCCCATGGCGGCAATCCGGCAAGGAGGCTCGCCGCCTCGCGGGAGATCGTGCGGTAGCCGCGAACCATCTTTACGGCAACCACCCTTTGGGGCGCGTTTAGGTGGTGGACGGCAAGCCGCGCCAAACCACGCGCCCACACCGGGGCCCCGTAAAGGGCCATGGACCTCACGATCCCCGCGTAGAGCCTCCGGCAGGAGGCGTTTGGCCCCCCCAGGTTCGGCAGGAGCCGCCTGAAGGCAGCCCCGGTCCGTTCCAGTTTGGGAGCCAAACGTCGGAAGTGCTCAACGAAGTTCCATCGGCCGTCGAGGACGAGTCCTAGGTACTTCAACGTCGACTCGACGCCGATGGATACCCCTCCTACCATCACTGAGGATCCCGGTGGTGGCCTATTCCGAGGACCATGGAAGTGCATGGCCTCGGACTTGTGCAGAGCCACCTCGAGACCCAGTTGCCGGATCCTCTCAACGACTATCGCAACCCCGCGTGTCATAGTTTCCGCCGCCGCCTCGTACGACCCCCCTTGTGCCAGTACCAGCGTGTCGTCAGCGTAGCAAACTACGCTGACGCCGGTAGGGAGGTCGGCGCGCAGCACCCAGTCGTAACCGATGTTCCACAGGGGCGGCCCCAGAACCGAACCCTGTGGGACACCGCACGACATCTCTCGCCGGTTCCACTCTCCGTTTCGACCGGGGTAGATGACGGCCCTGTCCGTCAGATAGTCCCCGACTATACGACGGAGATAGGTCGGCACCCGGTGATACCGGAGTGCCTCCCTAATGCAGCTCCAGGGCATGGAGTTGAAGGCGTTGGCGATGTCGAGAGACACCGCCAAGACAACCCCCCCCCCTGGCCACTGCATCCCCCGTCGTGAGGGCTCTCACGCGCATGATGGCGTCCACCGTAGAGCGCCTCTTGCGGAAACCAAACTGGTGTTCCGCAAGATCCGGCCCCGTCCCCGCAAGGTGCTCGGCGAGGCGGTTTGCAATTACTCTTTCAAAGAGCTTGCCCACCTCGTCGAGCAGCACCACGGGCCGGTATGCGGACGGAGAGTCCGCAGGGCGCCCCGGCTTCCGAATGAGGACCAGCTTCCCCGTCTTCCAACGAAGCGGGAATTGGCCTCTCTCCAAGCATGCGCTTAGGAGCCCCTCCAGTCGGGGCCCGAGAGCCTCCGAGGCCAGGACCCAGGCTTTGCCAGGCAAGCCATCGGGTCCTGGGGCGGTATTCCTGGCCTTGAGCCTACGTACCGCCACTCTCAGGTCTACCCCGGTCCCTTCCGGGATGTCGTCGTCGTCGTCCTGGTGGTCCGCTTCCGGCACCGCAGGTGGCGGAGCCATAGGCGGGGGCGGATGTTCCCCGCGCGCAGGGAACAGAGCGCTCACCACATCCTCCACGAGCTGAGGCCGGAGACTCTGCGTCAGCGGGGGGGCCCAGGTGCGGAGTTTATCCCGCACGATCTTGTAAGGGCGCCCCCACGGATCTCTATCGAGAGTCTCCAGCATCTCCTCACGGGCCCGATCCCGGGCCCGCAGGACAGCCTCCCGGAGGGCGGTCTTTGCCGCTCTGTATCCCTCGTACAGCTCCGCCTCAATGGCTGCCGCATTCGGTGGACGATTGCGGAGCCTGCGATGCCTGGCGTACAGGTGCCGCGCGGCGACACACGCCTCGCGCAGAAACGTCAGCTCACGCGACCACCAATACACCTGACGCCGGGCGCTTCCTGGCCGGACGCGGGGCATTGCCACGTCACATATCTCGGACATGGCCTCCTGGAACCACCCTGCCTCATCATTGACGTCGGCAGGCCTGTCCGGTGATGACACCCAGGCCTGCACGATCGAGGCTTCCAGGAGGAGCTCCCGGTCCAGCTGCTTCAGCGCCCACCGCGGACCACTCGGGGCCTGTTGGACTGGCGCGCTCGAGGGCTGGCTGGAGACGTCAAACCGGATGTACCGGTGGTCGGAGTAGGTCTCCACCCCCTCCATGACACGCCAGTCAATGGCACGCGGCGACAGAGCGGGGCTAGCGAACGAAATGTCCACCACCGACTCGCCCCGCATCCGCACACACGTGGGGACAGAACCCCGATTTAGGACGACCAGGCCTGTCTCCAGAGCCCAGTCTTCCACCATCCTACCCCGCACATCTGTACGACGAGAACCCCAAGCCAAGTTCTTGGCATTGAAGTCCCCGAGGACAAGTACGGGGAGGGGATTACTTCCGACGACGACTGCTCTCAGCTCTGCAAGAGAGTTGTGAAACTCGGCGAGAGATCGGTTCGGGGAGAAGTACACCCCCACAACGACGAACTCCCCGAACCGTGCTGCTACGCACCCCTGACCCCTCCTGACACCTTCAAGGGTCGGGGTACCGGCGGCGGCTGAAGAAATGATGGCCACTGAGCCGTTAAGGTCCGCCACCCAGTCCTCCCTAGGCCAGACAAAATACGGCTCAGCGACCACAGCGATGTTGATCGACCACTGCGCCATGCTCTGGAGCAACAGATCCTGAGCGCAGGCGCAGTGGTTGATATTCGCCTGGAGGAAGCTTAATGGGGCCGTTATAGGCATTCCATTTCAGCTTCCTCCACGGGGCGCCTCTCTGCGGGCGTCGGTGTCGCGGCGGCGGCGGCAGCGACAGTGACAGCGGCGGCGGCGGCGGCGGCAGTCGCGACTGCGGCGGTGGCCACAGAGGCGGTGGCGGCGGAGGGCCCTCCCCTACCCGCGGCCTTGGCCTTGGCGGGTGGCACGCAGGCCTTGCTTCCGGCCCGGTGATCGGCTGGCTTGCCGGTCGCCGCACATGCATCACAGTGCGGCGTGGCGCAGCAGGTCGCCGATATGTGTCCGGGCTGACAGCAGCGGAAGCAAAGGCCACTGCGGTCAAACTCCGAGGCGCATTTCACAGATACGTGGTGCCCCACGAGACAGCGGTAGCACCTCAGAGGTCTGGGCTCCAGCAGCTTAACCTGCGCTGAGACCCAGCCCACCAGAAGCCTTCGGCCCTCCACTATGGTTTTGGCCGCCGTAACAGGGCAGCACACCGTGGCGGCATGCATACCCTGTTGGTCCGGGCGTATGGCGCCTGACCTGACCTGGTCAGTAGTGCACCCCCCGGACCTGGCGACGGCGGCCACTAACTCCTTCTCCGATACCGAGTCGTCCAGGCCCGTCAGATGCGCAGACCTGCGCATCTGACGGGCCTGGACACTCGGGCCTCGTCCGCGTCCAGGGACGCTCTGAGCTTCGCAGCCAGAGCGTCCGCGGTCGCGCCACTGGATTCCCCGGGGATCTCCAGCATACGGGCCCCCGTCTGGGTGACTTTGAGCCGGAGGCCCCCGGTGATCCCGAGCTCCCCGAGATCCACCGCCTCTTTCGCCTTCGCGAGCAGATCGCGGTAGGTAACGCCCTTCTTTTCCGCGTCCGGCTGTAGTGTAATCACTACAGCTGCGGTCTTCGGGGCGCGGAGCCTAGCCGCCATCTTGCGCGCCCTGAACTGGCGCTGCCGCTCCTGCTCTTTGGCCTTTTTGGCTGCCTTCTTCCCCTTATTTTTGTCCCCGACCACCTGCCAACCGGCTTCAGCCGTGGGAGGTGTAGGGAGCTGCGGGGGCGGTGGCGGCGGCGGCAGCTGGCTTGCCGCTGGCGCTGGCACATTCGCCGCAGGCACTGGGGCTGGCGCAGCCACCACCTGTGCTGCCGCTTTGCCCTTTTTTGTCTTCGCCTTGCCTCTCTTTCCCGTTGCCGGCTTAGCCGGAGCCGGTTCAGCCGGTACCGGTTTTGCCGGAGCCGGCTTTTCAGGGGGAGGAGGGGCAACTGCAGCCCCGCCCGAAGGCTGGCTGGACGGCCCCGGCCTGGATGCGGCAGCTGTGGCCGCCGCGTACGAGACCGTTGCCGGCCTCGCCGCCGTCTTGTTTGCCCCTAGGGGGGGGCGCAGGACGATGCCCTCCAGCACGGAGAACCGGTGCTGGAAGGCAGCCAGCTCCTGCCGGACCAGGTTCAGAACCTGGTTCTCCACCGGCATGGGCTGGCTTGGGCGCTGCGTCTGGGGCGCCGCGCGAGAGGCAGGCTCACGTAGACTGGCCAGGTCTGCGCGGAGCTTCTCGTTCTCCTTCTGGAGAGTCTCCATGGCGGACGTCAGGCGGGCCACTTCCGCCCGCAGCTCCGCTACCTCGTTTACATTAAGCTCGGCCCCAACAAAGTTGGCCTCCGCAGCCGCCATGATGGAGGCGGAGGCCGCGGGAATGGCCTTTAACTTTGAGGAGGCCTTTTGCTTGTGGGCCACGACCTTGATCGCGGCCTCCACCTCCTTTACGAATCTGGCCTTACGCTCCACCTCGGAGCCGCCAGTCGCATCCGTCTCTTCGCCTGATACCCGAGCCGTATCGCCCGGGTGGCGCCCCTCCTCGGCATGCTTTGCCGCTTGTTCGGCCCTCTGATTGTCAGAGGGCCCCCTCCCCTTGCCTCTCAGCCCGCCCCGCCTGTTGGTGGGGATTTTCCGGGCCGAAGTCTCCTCTTCTCCGGCTGACGACCCCTGGTCGCCATCCCGCCTGGACCGCTTGCGGAAGAACTTACTGGTCTCCGCGGTCCCAGGCTCCACGCGTCGGGAGCTCTCTGAGCCTCCCACGCTGCTCGATGCGGCGTCGGACTCTGTCCCCGCATCGTTCCTCCTCTCTTCTACGTTGCCGTTGCCGGCGGTTTTGGTTTTTTGTTCTTTATTTTCCATATTTGTACCCACGAGTATGGGAGTAATTAAATGTCCACCTTGGCAGTGACCCCTTACCAAGGTAAGCAGATTTAGAGGATTTATTACTCGCCAGGGGGTCTGCAGGTACCCTGGCGAGGAGCGCACTATCGACTGATTTGTTCATAGAACCCCGTCAGCCATCCATCCCCTCGCGGTGCGTCGCCGCTTGAGATTCGGGGTAACTTTTTATAGAGGTTTTCTCCCTCGCGGTCCGGGCGGTTAAGCCAAGACCCTCGGTCCCAATCAAAGCCGCGAGACATGATCCACGACACTTCGATACTGGGATTACGAGACCGGCGGTGACAGCAAAGGATGAATCCTTCACTGTCTGCCCGGAGGCAGGGTAAGTGCACACCGAGCCCGCCCTCACTCCTCTGCTATGCCCTCTGCTGATCAGAGGGTCACGCAGTGGAACGCGCCGTTGGTCCGGGACGGACCCCACCCATGTCAGAATAATTAGCCGCGGCAGTAACCTTCCCCAAGGAGTAAGAATTTCTTCTCATTTCTCGAGGAAGATTACTGCCGCGCCCAGGGTGCACCGGCCCAGTAGCTGCTCTTCCCTCCAGACGTATCGAGAGGGACCCGCAACTACCAGGCACACGTGGAGGACTTCTGACTTCGCACCCCATGCGTTGCCACCCCTAAGGACTAAGATGGAATGTCTCGTTCCAGTAAATAGGATCTCCGGATCTCTACACTCACCATACGAAACACAGCAGCATTCAGCTGCTATTTTACGCTGGTTCTCTGTGAAAGTGTGGCCCTTCCTCGGTTGAGTCAACCGATACGAGCCACAACTATAAAATAGCTGCAGCATGGCTCTACCACGTAGTTGTTATAAGTAATTCTTCTTTTTCACCAGCTCGTTAATTGTTAAAAACGGAATAAAGGTCTTTTTCCATTATGGAGTGGACAGACGTAAACGGATTGGCGATTGCCATACCAAACCTCTACAATATTAATATAATATAATACATCTTGCCTGGATACTTTACATGTTGTTGAGCAATTCCGACGACCGACGGTGAACTCAAACTCCCACTATTCGAGCAGTATAAAGTACGGCGCAAGCAACTAGCTGGTATCAGTTATTTAAAGAGAACCGGTGTCTCCAGGTTTTTATTTTAGCAATATCACTGTCCGGTTTTTAGACACAATAGTAAGACAATAACTATGACCTATATGTAGTGCACGGGACAGCGAAAGGGTTAAGTTGGTGATAGTTGTGTGCACACAGAGATGCATATTACCGTTCTCGTACAGAGTGTAGGGTCAGCTCTATGTTTCCTTATTTTAATTTATATTTTGGGGTCAAACTTTAGTGTCTTTTGTAGTTTGATAGTCATTTATAGTCAATTATAGTATGTCGTAGTTTTCTGTCCGACAGTTTTTGCATATTCTATATAGCTTATTTGTAGAAAATGTAAATAGCTTGAAGTACACTACTTTGAAAAAACTTTGTTAGCCTCTTTAAACTTCTAATTTCGTTTTTATTCACCATACAAATTGTCTTTATAATTATTTCTAAATACAATGTTCAATGCAAAGTGTTTTCCTTACACAACAAGACAAAAACATATTAAAGTAAATAAATTAGTCTATTATTCATTACAGTGCCTCGAAACTATTAATATTTTTGCCATTATCTTAGCTGAAATGGGTAGTCATATACTTTGAGCGATCCAAAATATATCCACTAACGCTCGTAAGGTTGCAATAAAAAGCATGGAATGGAATAAATGGCTTACGTATAGCAAGAAATTAGTGATAGAGCAAAGTTAAGTCTTACATTCTTTTGTTTGTTTAATTCTTTTCTTCAGACTTCAGGGAAAACCAGGAATGGTGATTAATTTATTACGTCACTAAGAAAACATTAAAAGCGGTAGAAAGCTCTCTATTAAGACGAGCGGGCGTGGAATAGAACGATTAATTATGATTTCTTTTAACGCCCGCGGACAGTAGGCAGTCACCAGATGTAAATCTAATTACGTGTGGCGATGGAAATATTTTAAATAAATTATTTCATCTAGTCTTTTAATAGATAATATTATTATGATGGTGTATTTATAAAGTATTCTCATCTGGTTGTGCTGAATAAATATATAAGAGGAAATGATAAATATATATTAAATATACTATGTAACATAAATAAATAATACTTAAATAGATAAACACCCAACCAGATGGAAGCCCTCGGCAGGGGAGACAAAACGGCCTAGGGTTAGGGGGAAAGGGAAAAAATACCGGCGGACGATGCGGGCGGTATCGAGGAGCACCGCCTTTTGCATTTTAGCCTGGAGCGGTCCGTCACGGAGCCCCAGTCGCCTCAGATGACCCGAGCGGCTGACTGTGATTATCCCATTCGAAGAGACGACTACAGGAATAATTTCGGTCGGCAGACCATCCCACATGTCGATCACCTCGTGAGCCAGGTCCATATATTTTGTTTTCTTATCTAGAATAGAATAGAATAGAATAGAATGATTTTTATTCAATATGGATTATTACATAATACTTATTGAAAGTCATTATTTTATTTACCACTGGTTCGGAAAATACCTCTGTCCTGGGAAGAACCAGCAAGAAACCCAGCGGGACTTTTTTTTTAAACATAATTTCACTTAACAATAATTTTGTTTATACAATTTTAAATGAATTTTCATAGAACCAGCATGGTGGCGATCACCTTATTCCCAGGGGTTATTTTCATTCATGTATTCCTTGATATTATAATAACCCTTTTTGTACA